TAAATTTAACTTAAATTTAATTAAATAAATTAATTAAATCTAAATTTGAATTTAATCAAATATATAATTCAAATATTTAAAATTTATATTAATTTATTAATATCTATATAGTCAACTCTTGATATAGCAAACTCTTGATATAACGAATTTTTTGAACAATTATAATAAAAATACTCTTGTTATAACAAATTGGCTAATCAAATCTCTTAAAATCTTTACTATAGCCTTATAGCAAAGTTGAGGTCTAGGATATAAAGTTCATTATAATAAGAGTTGACTGTATAAATTATATATAAAATATATAATTTCTATAGGTATTAATATTAAAAAAAAAGTTTTTTTATAATATTAGATCTTTTATAAAATAGTATTTTATAAAATAAATTATTGTATATATAAATTTTTTATATAGATATATTTATTTTATTATAAACTATTTAAATAATAAAATTTTTATTTTATGAATATTTATTATTTAATAGTTTATGATATTTTTTTTTATTTAATATTATAAAGATGCATAAATATAAATTTTTTTTTAATAAATACTATAAAATAAAAAAATTATTTTTTTTACATTAGAAAAAATGAATTTATTTTTTTTTATTTTTATTTCAAATATTTAAATCTTTTTTTAATAAAAAAAAAAAATAGAAATATTTGAAATTATTATTAAAATTTTAGATATTTAAATATTTAATTTAAAAATTAAATTAAATTTAAATTTAAAAATTTTTTAATTCAAATTTGTTATTAGAGTTTTAGAATAATCAAGTTCTATTAAGAAGTTGGAAAATGTTGATAAGATAATTATTTGAGTATCATAGCAATAAAGTATCATTAAGGAGTTAGGTAATGTTAGTAGGATAGTTATTGGTAGTGATGTGTATTTTATGCTTCTAATAGTATAAAATTTGATTGAAAGTTTCTAATCCAAATGAATTTATTAGAGAATTATGCTTTCAATTTTTCCAAAAGTACTTTCAAGAGTACATTCAATCTTTCAAGTGCATATCACTGATTATTAGTATATAAGAGCAATCAAATTCCATTAAGTAGTTAGATAATGTTGATGAAATAGTTATATAATAAAATTATTTTTGAAATTTTAAATATGAATTACTAATATTTTTTAATAAAAAATTACTTTTAAAGTTTAAATACTTATTTTTATTAAATAAATATTACTTTTAAAATTTAAAAATATAATTTGGGGCCTTTGCAATAGAAAGAGAGGAAACTCCAAAAAAAATAAAAAATGAGTTAATAATAAATCTGAACAAATTATATTATTTGAAACATTTTTAGCTTATAAACTAAAATTTTAATTTTTTTGGAGTTTCCTCCCTTTCTATTGCAAAGGCCCCATTTATTAATATTTTCTTAAAAATCTACATTTAAGTTTAAAATATATTTACAAATATTTTTATAATAATGATAAAATCTGATTTAAAATTAAAGAGTATTTAGGGAAGTAATACATATCACGTCATTATAGGTTATTATATTACTTCTCTCCTTCTTGTAAGACTTATCATATGATTATACAAACAGCCAATCATCATTAAATATATTTATACTATTTAAATATTACATTATAAATAAAAAATCTTTATTAGCATTTATTAAGGATTTTTTAATAAAGTTATCTTTTATTATTTTTTAATAAAATATAATAAAAATTAGTAATAAAAAGAATATGAAACTGTTTGCATGTGATTCGTAATAATTATATTCTATCACATTTATATAATCATATCTATATAATTGCATTACAATTGTACCTATATAATTGTGTTATAATTGCATCTTGATTTTTTTGTCCAAAACTTTTTCACTATGCAAACTTTTTTAACTACTCCAAAATATAATAAGTTTTATATTTATAAGACACCTACAAATTAACATCAAAGGTTTTGTAATACTTTTGGATATTATCATATAGTGAATAAAAAAACCCTATGTATCCAAAAGTTAGTTTATGTACAGAATGTACTGATGTATGAAAAGAGATTTAACATAAATCTCAAGAAGATATTAAAAGTAAAATTAGAGAATACTTAGTAACCTCAATTCCAATACAAGATTTTTTGTGAATTAGTAATACACGATCTAGTTCATCTCAAAGCTCAAAATTCACTCAGATTAATCAAGTTCTTTAAAGAACAATTAAAGAGAATATTATAGTTAATATTACTGTACCTCCTAATGCTATAGCACAAAAAAAAGCTGCTAAAACTATTAATGCAACTAATTTAAAACTTGCTGAACTTTAACAATCTTATAATTTTACTTCTGACTTAGAGATTTGGTATAGTATAATAGAATGCATGATAACCCTCAAGCAAATTTTACAAAATAAAGATATCAAGATTAAGAAATTAAAACGTTATGCAGAATACTAACAAAAAAGTAAGGCAAAAAAAGCAAAACTCCTGCAAGAATATCAGGAGGTAATAAAATACAATTCACCTGATCATCCACCTCTTTTGGTTCAGTATCCTGATTTACATGAGTATACATATGAAAGCATCAAATTCAGAGCTGCAGATAAAAAGAGAAGGAAAGAAATCATTAAAGTTAGAATAATTCAATACCTTCAAAAAGCTCTTAATTCAAAATATAATAAATATTTTTTTTGTACTATCCTTAATAATTATTTATTGCCATCTCGATCAAATACTAGAGCAGCAAAGATTCATCACCACCCAGCCATTATTGCAAATGTATCTGTTTTATGAAATGAAAGAAATGAGTATATCGATAAATATTACTGTCTTGCATTCGTAAAAGAAATAAAATAATTTGCAGCTCTATTTCTTACCTATTCTATTATCATTTTTTAAGATGATAAAGTTAAGATTCCTCTTAGTATTCCTGCAGTTAGAAGAACTTTTCAAACTATTTAAAGTTTCAAAGAGCCAGTTACCTTACCTGATCATAACTTTCTAATTAGTATGCAGCAAAAGCTTATTTTATCGATTTATTTACTCGTTAATCTAGGTGATATAAATAATACTCTTTATAATAAATAACTTTTGATTTTGTACACTCACAATACTATGTTGGTATAAGTTTAATTACTTATATAAGTTATTTAAATTCACTAACTTGAGATAATCATTTTAATGGAATATTAAAAATCGATAGCTAGATTAAATTTATTTAAATTCTTTTAGTCAATTGAGGTTCAGATAAAAACCCTTATCATATGAAGAACATTTTTCCATATTGTAGAATGTTTCGTACTTTCGATCTTGATTATCTTTCTGTTTGAATGTATGCATCTGATTAATCAGCATATAATCCTGTAAAGCATTGTATGTCAATACTTTCTCAAAAACTAGCTGATATAATATTGCTAATCGACAAACATGATTCTTATCTCAATTTTTAAAGCCAGGTAGTTGATTTGAAGCTTGCAATGAAGAACTTTCATCATGCTAATGAGGCTTTATGTACTCTTTGAAAATGTGATTTAATCTATGAGAAACCAGTCATTACACAATATATTGATCCAAAAAACCCTCTGTTCAGTGATGTTGTATTTTTCAGATCTAAAAAAAAAAACTGACAAATTAACAGTACCTTGGCAATGGTTAGAAAGTTATACCAAAATATATCAATACTCACTTGACATTAAAAATGCAAAGATTCTTCTTGTTGTTTGCCTAAACGTCACGAAGAGACAGCTATTCTTCTTGCGAAAAATGATAGATTTCTCCCACCTGTAACAAAAGGGAAAGATAGGTATTACTTGAATCTGCTCAATATATTAGAATATTATAATAAGCTTAAAATACCTGAATATGATACCCACTGTCCTTTTATTAATTCAAGTATTTATAATTGTCTCTGCTGTTCTGATTGTAACGCATATTTTCTAACTCTTTCCTTTGTTGCTTTGCATAAGAAAAGTAAACATCCAAGAAGAAGAGGATGACTAGTTAAGTAGAAAAGGCAACTTACTAATTTCATTGATTATTTTCTATTGTACCTATGCGAAATGTATAATTTTGAAACTTAAATGACTGGGAAGCACATTCAAAAGATGAGTAAGAAGGTGAATGTAAAATAGTTTTACTTTTATGCCAGCAGGAAGTAAAGATTGTTGTAAAGGTTGTAAAGATTAGACAAAGTTTAAGACAATAAATCAAATTTTATTTCCTTTTGAATTGATAAAAAATTTGATCTATAATAGCCACAATAAGATTTATTTTATTATTCTGATTGGTTAAATATATAATCACGTGAAAGATAAGATATTTAATGTCTGTCCCCTCTCTAATAATGACATGATATGTGTCACTCTCCTTATTAATTTACTTAATTTACTATATTTTAATAAAAATTATTTCTAAATTTCAAATATAAAATTATTTTACTAAAAATAATATCTAAAATTTAAAAATATAATTTGTTTAATAAAAGTAATCTTAAACTTAATAAAATCTGTATTTAAATTTAAAGATATAATTTGCTAATAAAAATTACTTCTGAATTTGAAATATTACTTTAAAGTATATTTTTTCTTACTAATATTTGTTTAAAAACTTTAAAAAATAATTTCACTTATAAGTATTTTTTTAATTTTTTTTTGATTAGTAATTTAATATAATTCAAATATTTATAATCAAATATTTGATTTGTTTTGATAAAATTAGTAAAAAACTATAAAAAATAAGAATAAAATTAAATGATTTCAAATATTAAATAATCATATATTTTGCAAATAACTTATAAATTTATACATAAAATTTTGTAACAAGCAAAAATAATCATCAATTTTTTATAACTTAATCCGAATCATTATTTTACATATATACTATTAAATTGTATAAATCAAACATCAATAATTCCAGCAAACTAAAAATGATTAAATAATAGTTTCAAAAATGCATGAATTCTCCCCTGAATATATCAAACATAATAAAATAAATGGTATATGATTAAAAAATAGAGTTGAAAATTGTAAATTAAAAAATTACTTTCTTTTCTTCTTACCAAGCAGTTGGGTAATTTGTAAGCTCGGGTCTTGAAAGCATCTGTGAGGTTGAAGCCTGATTTGAAGATTCAGGTATATCTTTATTTATAACCTGAAATACTTCATATTCTTCAACAGAAAAATTATGATTTTCAGTTATTTCACTTTCATAATCGTAGCATTGACATGTACAAGTTTCGGCCTCATTAAAATTATCATTCATTCGTAAATCTGTTTGACCAAAGCAAGGACCATGTCGCGGAGATGAAAAAACAGCAACAGACATATTATCTTGAATAATTCGACTAATTTTAGCATTCAAAAGATCTTTCCCGTCACCTAACGAAAATATAAAACTGTCGGGAGTACTTTGATAAGGTCCTACTTCGTAGGTATTAAACCTTGAAAAACTACCAAAAGAAGAAGTACGACTACGTTGTGAAACAGTCCATGTTGTTGGAGCCGACCAACTACTATCTAGATTATTTGATCCTCTCCAACTTATTGGATTATATCCCCCAATGATTTCTCCGGATTCTTTCACTTTAATTATAACCAAAGTTGGACCAAGGCCATCACATTTCTTATGAAAAGTAGCGGCGGTAAAACCATCTTTTGAACCACAAAGAATTCTATTAAAATTATATTTGGACTTTTCCAAATTCGTTTCACGTCCTTCCTTTCTGTCAATCCATTTCGTTATTAAGGAAATATGTTTGAACTTTATAATGTTTGATTGAATACCAGTCTTCCTTAGTGATAATATAAGTGTATCCGTTTCACTAATATTTCCTCGCTTACAATAATATTGCAAAAGATCTTCATGTAATTTACTTGGTAAAATCTGTCTAAAAGGTCTCAATTTATCCCAATAGTCACTAGAATCAATATTAAAATACCTAATTAAAGGTATACAATGTTCTAAAGTACCTTTCAATGTTTCGAAATTTTGAGGAGTCCAGGTTGAAATATTTTCATTTAATGATATATTTTGAGCGATCCCCCACTCAATTAAGTGATCCCAAATTTCAATTTCTTCCATTAAAAGGTCATCGCGTTTTAAAAGAGGTACAAGAACAGATTCGTCCAATGAACAAAAATTATTTGATTCAAATAACCAATAAGGATCTTGACAAATCAAACCCAAACAAAAATTTTGTAAATCTTTACAGGCTTCTAAATATCCAACGGTATGCAAAACTTGTATCACATTTTCTTGCAACCAGTCAGATTTTTGTTGAATAAGATGATCTTGCGCATAAACGATCAATTCTTGAAGATTTAATTCGTCGGAGGCAGTTAAAAGGTTGAGGATAATACCACCTTCTTGTGCAAGTAAATCTGCGGTGCCACTATAAATGTATCTATAAAGGAAAGTACATAAATGAATATACTACAGATGCGTGTAAACTCCTCAGAACAAACATACTAACTTCAGAATGACGTCAAACACTTCATGTGCTATGTTCGGCTTCTGAAATACGATTGAGCCGTTTTCTTTTCGAGCCCAATCTCTTGACAGGGCTCTACGAAAGTAAGGGGATCTCGCACGCAAAATAACCGTGTGCGCGTGGAATTTTTTGACATTTGGTTCTTTACCAGCATAAATGATAACGTCATAGTCGTCAGACTCGTCCAATAGATGGCTAAAATCAAGTGATAATCCTTGATAAAATTCCATTATTTGGGGGAATAAAAAAAAAATAAAAATAAAAATAAAAAAATAATTTGTTTCTTATTTTATTTATTTTATGGACAAAATGATTCTAACATTCAAAATCTTTATATAGCTTAATTAGTTTAATTCGATCACGTGTAACGTTTCATCGATCTTTTGGCAGATTTATATAAATTTGACCATTATTTTCTAAGAAAATAAGAAAAAAAAAAGAAAATGACAAAAGCAACGCAAACTGCAAGTTTTCTTGGTGTGATTTTTACAATTTACATTATTTTTTTATTTAAAATAATTCCTCTTCCTGAAATAGTACAAGAAGATATTTTACCTGTGGTAAGAGTGGATATATTTATATCTTTTAAGAGGTTTATATTATTTATTTATTTATTTTCTCTTAGCTTCCTTGGTGGGCGCTTGTTACATTTGGTGCTTATTCCCTTGGAAATATTGGATATCATGTTTATATTTTCGGAGATTGTGAAGATGCTTACCGTGAATTAATGACGGTAATTTATATCTTTATATATATATCTATCTGTAATCTTTGGATTTTCTCATTTGTGATTAAAAAGCATTATAAACTTTATACATAGGAAATTCAAATAGCAAAAAATGATTTAAGAACCAAGGGTATCACAGTAGATTAAATTTAAATTTAGAATAAATAGAGTTTAATATATTTTAATTAATCCAGATTTCATACATATTATATATAAATCATTAATTATTATAAAGTAAAGGAGAATAATTTAATCAATTCATTAAATAAAATGGTATATTGATGCTAATAATACATAAAAGAATAATAGATGCAACTTATGAAAAAAAAATTCCCTAAAAAAGAAACGACTCAAAAGGTGAAATTATAAATAGAATTCTAAATAAATAACTAAAGTAAATGATTAATCCATGAAATCTTATAAATGTCCAATCTTCCTTCCTATTCAAGTAATTGTCGAAACCTTTCTTGAATTTCTATATGCAATTGTTGATAACGTTCTCGAAGAACTTCCTCACTTTCAGCAGGGTCCTTATGAGATTAATATTTGCCAATTTTCAATTATGTTAGTATTAAAGAATGTTTACTTTTTTAAAAGTAACAAAATATAAAAACCTACTTCAAATTTCATAGAACTAAGCTTATACATAAGATCACCCATAGAATCTCTGATTTTAGCCCACGTTATTTCATTATTAGTAACTTCAACAGCGTGAGTGGCAGCATTATAAAAACCAATCATATTCTTAAGTAACCAATTAGTCTGACGAGGAAATAAAAAAAAATTTTTTCTTTTTAAATGTTTAATTCAAAAAAAAAATCAAATATGAATAATAAATTAACAAATATTACCTTGTAGAATGGACAATAACGATCATAACTTGAGTAACCATTTTGTTGTAAGAAATCATCCTTTATGATTCTCGCAATTTCCAAAGTGATTTTATCAGCTTCACCAAGTGCACTCTAGTTTTAGTTAGTAAAATAAGTTTTAATGAAGTTTCATATAATGTATATATAAAAATTGACCTCATTCATACCTTTCCGACCAGCTGGACGATTTCAGACAGATCTTCTTCTTTTTGAAGGATTTCTTTAGTTTTATCTCTGATAGAGATAAAATCTGGTTCAGTCGATTCATAGTAAGGTTCCAATACTTTGAGATATTTTGAGTAACTTAAAGACCAGTTGACTGAAGGGAAATGCTTGCGTTGGGCTAATTTCTTATCTAAACCCCAAAATACTTGAACAATACCAAGAGTGGCTGACGTCACAGGATCAGAAAAATCACCGCCGGGTGGTGAGACACTGTAATAACAACATTCGATTAAGGATAACAATATAAATCATAATAATTATGAGCATCGATTTCGATCACAAAGGATACGCTCCAACGACAGTAACACTTCCGTCACGTTTTGGATTCCCTAGACACGTTACTTTACCAGCACGTTCATAGAAAGAGGCTAGACGAGCGCCCAAGTAAGCAGGATAACCACTATCTGTGAAATAAAAGAGAACATATATTACTACCGAATAGATGATAATGAGAATAGAAGTATTGTAAATCTGATTTAACTTACCTGCCGGCATTTCAGCCAAACGACCAGAGATTTCACGAAGAGCCTCGGCCCAACGAGAAGTTGAATCCGCCATCATGGCAACATTTTTGCCTTGATCACGGAAATATTCAGATAATGTAATACCTAGTAAAAATTGATAAAGAATTTGTTAGTCGGCACATAATTTATATAATCTTTTGCATTAAATGAAACTCACCGGTATAGATAGAAGCTTCACGAGCAGCGACAGGCATATTGGAAGTATTAGCTACCAGTGTTGTACGTTTCATAATAGATTCTTGACGACCATCAACATTGATACTAAGCTAAAGGAGAGAACGCTAAATATTAGTTATCAAAGTTTAAATATTAAACACTCAATAAAATAATAAGTTTGGCACTTTAACTAACCTCAGGAAAGTCCATTAATACTTCGGCCATTTCGTTTCCACGTTCTCCACCTAAAATTTGATCGATTTATACTTTTTTAAAATCATAATACTTGTTATATAAAATCATTACAATAAAATGTGAGCTAAATTCAACAACTTACAACCGACGTATATAATAATATCAGAATTAGAATATTTAGATAAAGATTGTGAAATGACTGTTTTACCACAACCGAAAGCTCCGGGAATAGCGGTGGTTCCGCCTTGGACGCAACTAAATTTTGTATATTCAAAATAAGTAAAGTTCAAGTAGGCGTTTTGAATTTAAATATAGTAAGCAAGCCTTACGGGAAAAGAGCGTCCAAAACGCGTTGACCGGTCAATAATGGGAAGTTAGCTGCCAATTTTTCCGTGACAGGACGAGGCGATCGAACAGGCCAAAGTTGCAACATTGTATGCTTGGATTTTTGTCCTTCGAATTCGGTTTCAAGTATGATATCCTATTCAATTAAAGGAACACGTCAGAGTTTTGATGACCCTTACTGTTATTGTCACATCTTAATCGACGTACCTCCAAAGAATATGAACCTTTTTCAGCGATGTTCGTGATTGTACCAAGAGCCTTTGGTGGTAACATTATACTATGATCATTCAATAAGGAATTTTCAAAAACCTTGCCATATATGTCGCCACCAGTAATATGGTCACCAACCTGAAAAAAAAAAAATTTAAAAACGTTTATTAAAATCGCATGACACCAGCATAATGGTTTTTTAAAGGCAAGTTACGTACTTTAAAGTTTAATGGATCAAAGTCCCATTTGATATTTTTGTCTAACGCAGGGGTTGAGATACCACGTGGAATATAAATACTATTAGAAATTTCCCGAATAGCCTACATCAATAGAAGAGAACTTAGGATTAAACGCGATCATCAATAAACAAATAAATTATAACTTATTATAATATTATAACACACTCTAAGTGGACGTTGGATTCCGTCATAAATGTTGGACATCAACCCTATGAAGAACGTATTAGATTAAATTTTGATATTAATATTCGGAAGAAAAAAAAAAAAAAAAAAATTGAAAACATACCAGGTCCCAATTCGACGGAAAGAGGTTTTCCTGTTTTTAATACAGGGTCCCCAACAGTTAATCCGGCTATAATAACATGTATTAAAGATCAATATAAGGAATCATCAAAGAGCATAATAAAAAAAAAAAAAAAAAAAAAACTTACAAGTTTCCTCATAAACTTGAATTGTTGCTTTATCACCATCAATACGAATGACTTCACCAACAAGTTCTTCATGACCAACTCTTACCTTAATGAAATAAGTGAGATTAAAAAAAAGAATTCGACGAGATAAAAGAAATAGAACGTGATGTTGGTACATACCAATTCGTACATGGCAGATCCATTCATTTGTTCCGCGACCACGACTAAAGTTGTAGAAAAAAAAAATGTAAGAAATGTCGGTAGATCGGGCTTCAAAAAACAAGGTTTATAAAAAAAAAGTATGATTGTCACCTGGACCAGAAACAGCGAAAACGTAACCGAAATCGCTTTCTCTTTCAGCATCTCTTATTTTTGGCAAGCTATCTTTCGCGTTATCCAGCGCTCCAGCCTAAGTTAAAATCAAACACAAGTTCAAGTAACGAGTTCACGTTATTTTTTTACACTTTGATTAAAAATTTGAATGGAAAAAAAAAAAGAGTAAAAGATAATTAAGATACCATTTTTTTTTATAGGTCACTGGAAATAGGTAAGTAATGAGAAAAAAGAAATAAAAGAAACGGCGTAAGGATTAGGGCGCTTTCGTTGTAGTTTACTTCAGTTTTATTCGTTTTATTTGTAGATTTTTGATCGATGAATATCAACGTGATTATCTGATAATATCTATAATCTGATCAATTATTTTTGGATCTGAGATTTCGAAAGAACCACGAACTTCGTTCATTGGCAAGAATAAATATATCTAGATCAAACGGCTTTATGTTTACATTGCGAGGAAAAAAACATTTATGTTACAGATGAAGAGTCTGATAAGTCCGAGACATATAGAGAAATAAATATATTACAATGTGAAACTTTGCTCAGTAAAATTTAATTTTTAACATGGTGGATTGTAATCTACAAAAATGTATTTTTTTTTATCCCTTAATCATCACGTGATCCATTGATCATGCTCGGATCAGGCCATGAACAGGGGTTAATAAATAGTTACCTCCAATCATTTTCAATCAATTTGATTGGCCATTTGAATCGTTAAATTTTACTTTATTCAAATCAAAAAAAATCAAAAACGACACTTGAACACTCCCCTATAGATAATTCTTGCTTTCAATGGGTAAACCGAGTATGTATTTCTAATATATAATTTTTTTTTTTTAGTAATTCACATGAATAAGCTTCCTTTTTCATTTTCTTTATGATATGGTATAGAACGAAATAGTATGCGAATTGATGAGCCAACGTCAAAACCTGCAGGTGTTGACAAGTCGTCTCTCTCTTCACCAGAAAGTAAGTTTACTTTATTCGGTATAGAATGAAGTCTTAAGTAATTAGAAACTAAACCAACGTATACTTAGGTAATTCCCTCGGTCCACGTGCGGTAAATGCAACGCAACTACGCACTAAGCAAGGTGCCGATAATTTACTTCACAAGATCAAAAAGAAACAAAAGATACTTCGGACAAAAGCCAAGAAAAGGCAAGAACAGGGAATTAAACGAGCTTTGATGATTAGAGAAAAAGTGGAAGTTAAAATTGAAAAAGCATTAGATAAATTGAGTAAAAAGAGACATTTGAAATCAATCTGGGAGTAATCCATTCGAAGACAAGTAAATTTATTTTTATTTTGTTTTGTTTTTTTTTACAACTCTGATCATTTATCACGTTTTTTTTTTGTTTGCACGAGTTATTTGGGTTAATTTATTGACTTTTGATTCTAGTGGATAGATTTAGTGCGTTTCCTTCCATTGTCTTTCTCTTTATTAGCATTTTGGTATATAGAATAAGCGCGTTCGATCGTGGTTGCTTTCAATTTCAAATTGACTGTGAAAATGAAAATTTGAGTTTAAAAAAAAAAAAAAAATGTAGTGTGAGAAATAAATTAAATATTATTATTATATATTGCTCACTTCTGTCAAGAGCCAGTTCAATTTCGCATCTATTTCTTATCAAAGCTAACATAGGCCAAGTAGATTGTTCTCCTTTCAGAATCCAATAATCCAAAGACGAGTGAGTTGGATTCGACAACAGGGTTTTAAAGTCCTTAAAGAAAATAAAATATAATTTTTTAGTCATCAGATTGTGATTCTTTTTTCAAACAAAAAAAAAAAAAAAAAAAAGAGGAAAGAACGAACGACTTACTGAAAATGATAGATAAGGAACAATAGTAACATTTCCCGAAACTTTTTCATCAACAAAACCTCGAAACATTCTTGGAAGAAGACGCATTTGTTTAAGTTGATTGATTCTGTGCCTGAATTCGGATGTTAATAGGTGACCACATTTAATCAATGTGTTACTACCAAATTGTTCTTTTGCCATGAAAGGGGCGATATATGGGTTTGCTTGAGACACGATGAAATGGTTGACATTAAATAATTCCGAAATTCTTGTTAATGGAGATTCACTTTCAGTTGGAACTGCATCTGTCCACTTTCTCCATTTAATTTCAGTTGGGGCCCAAGGTGCGATATTTCCAGCTTTATCCTTGGCCAACAAATCAACACTATCATACAATCCCATTATGGCAGTAGAAGCACAAGCCGCACTTCGTATCAATACATTGGGTGCGGTCAAATAGTTGAGAAGCTGAGGAACTTCGAATTTTCTAGTTGATGAGACCGTGATGTTTAATATTCTTTTTGTTTTTAAATATGCTTCCTATAGGAGGTAAGAGAAGGGTGAATTAAAATTATCACTCTCAAAAGAAATGATATTCTCTATTAGAATAGGTTACCTCGAATGTGAGGTCCCCAACGTTATTTCGAACGCACTCTTCCAATACTTTGATGTCCATGAAATAACCTATAATAAAATGACTCATCATGAGTATATCGAATCGAGGCATAGAAACTCTCTTCTTTTTCAATTCCCTTTTTTTTCCCTTACCATGTTTTAAAAATCTACTTATTTTCCTTTTTATGTTTCCTTTTCTTCCTTTTTTTGAAAAGGCACCTAAATCCACACCACCTTCTTCAAAAATACTTGGTAAATCTTCATCAGTCCTAATACAAACTAAAGCGGCAATCAAAGCTCCAATAGCGGTGCCGCTAATGATTCTAGGTAATAACCCATGCTTGTTTAACGCTTTGACGACACCTAAATGAAATAAGCCAAATGTCGCCCCACCATATAATACCAAAGCAGTGCATCCAAATGATTGACGAGTATCATTAAAGAAATCCAATTTTGAATATTGTGGAAGATCTGTGAAATCTTTTTCTCCTATATCATCTAATTGTGTTACGATTTCTTGCGTATAATCTTGTATTAATTGTTTGGTCCCCAGATATGATTTACAAAATAACCTTGGATCATTTATACCTCCCAAATTTCGCAATAGACCTGACCTTAGTAGATAAATCATTGATAAAACGTCATTGCTTTCACGAACTCCCCTAAGGTGTTCCAACCTTTTTTGAATCATCATGTAATCATAATATGGTGACGCTGGATCTTGTTTCCATTCTTCGTTTGCTAAAATCAAAAAAAAAAAAAAAGATTAGAGTTCTGAATGAGGAAAAAAAAGTTGAGGAACATAAATTTTATTTACCTAAAAGACTATATATATATTTAAAAATAAAAAAAAATTAATATATTTATGTATTTCTATTATGAGAAACAAAAAGATTTGATTGATTGATATTACTCGTCTAATTCCTGCGATTTTTTACACCATTCTGTATATGTTTTGGCATGATGTAATTCATTTCTTAGTATCTCTGCCGGTGTCTTTTTGCGTCTCATCATCTACAGAAAATATTTAAAAAATAAATTTTTATTTGGAAAAAAAAAGTATCGACACCAAATATAACTTGACCATTTACTTGAATCCATGGAGAAGAAACTTGCAGTATCCAAAAAACAACTGCAGATACTATCACGGTTATACGATTAAAAATCTTGTTCTATTACGCAAACCAAAAGAAAAATGTTAAATGAAATTTAAATTTTTTTTTTTTAAAAAAAAAAAAAAAAAACACGAACTGTCATTTATGGTAATTCAAAGATTTTAATTCTTGGAGAAAAAAAAAAAAAGTAATGGCTTTATATTTATATATACTGATTTTGATAAAATTCATATGAAAAACATCAAACAGTGCATATTCAATGAAGTACAAGTACACGTAAATTTAAACTACGCCATTTGTATTGAATGATTGCCTTTAAGCATGCTGACAAATATTTTATTAAAAAAAAAACCTGAATAGAAAGTTTGCTTTGAGATTATCAAGGTTTTTTTTATTTATTTTGTTTGTTTTTCTAGATGGGTAATTGAAATTTGCGAAGCAAGCATGATAATAATGTCTTGTGATCAATAAACATTATCAGTCACCTGATTTTCCAAGCTCCATTGACGAACGCTCAAAACGGTGAAAAAAAAACAAATATATATGCAGACGACTTTTGGCATGATCATCACTTTTTTATTATTAATTTTAATTACATTGTTTGATTCTTTATATTTTTATTTCAATAAATGGAAATGTGCGACTTTTTAAATACAAAGTTTATAAATTTTTTTAAAAAAAAAAGAAAAAAAAAGAAAAAAACTCTTAAATATTATGATACAATCTTAAATCTTATTTAAACTTAATACGTTTGTTCCTTATAAATTATCTAGTGACGTTGGAAATAACGAGAAATATATTTCTTCTTCCTTGGGTTCATATAATTCAAAATCGACATCAAGATTCGGAAACGAATCAACGCTTGCATGGAGTAAATCCGATGTTGGTATATTATTTATCGTATTATTTATCGTATGATTAGACCTTAATTCCTTTATATTTTCGTCATTCGTTCTTTTTATTTTCTTGCCATGTTTTCTGGTTGGACGATATTTATGGTCAGGATAAAGAGACTCATGAATTTCCTTGGCGCTCATCGATAGTATCTCAAAAAATCGAGTAACCTGTGAAGGTTGTGAATTCCATGATTTATTAGCATGATATGAAATCTCCTTCCTTGTTAATTTTTGACCTTGATTAACGGTAAGGCCTTGTTGCTTAATCATTGCGATGTAATCCTTTAGAAATAACGAGTATGCGTTCTGCGGTCTTGCCGGTGATCCATTCGATTTTAATTTAGGAGAGAGTAAGTCGTGAAGTGATAAGGTTAGTTTATATGGCTCGGCTGTGACAGAGGGTGCAAGGTAGGACGTTAAATTTTGAAACGAAGAATCTTGCGAATTTGTGAAAGTCATTGAAGATTTGGACGTTATTGATGATTTATCGTTAATATAACTTGATTTTGATTTAGGCATTTTGTTTGTTTAGTTATTATTTACTTTTTTTTTTTCGAAAGAGAATTAGAATGGTATTGAAATTATTGTTAAGCAAGTTATTGCTAAAGAAAAAAAAAAAAAAAAAAAAAAAAATGAAGGGGGAGAAAGCGCCTTTTTATAAAAAAAAAGTAAAATAATAGAAATAAAAATAAAAATAAAATTATCGGGATGAATTAACCGATCAACCAAAAAGGAAATATTTTTTTTGATCGTCATTTTATATGCTTTATTTATTTATTTATCATTCCAAGAATTGGCGCCAGTTTGTCAATTTGTCATTCGGAGAATTTTTTGCATGATAGTGAAAGAGGTTTTGGTTAGATGAGATTCACACAAGAATTTTGTTTTATTGGCACTGTTCCGGGATATTCCTATTAGAAACATCCTCTTTAAAAAAAAAAAAAAAAAAAAAAAAAGAAACTGATGTGCACATTTGTGTTGCGCATGGCCGTAACAGTAACCGTTTTTCTAGAGTATTGACAAAGAATGTTATTTGTCAGGACAAAAAAGTACGAACGGACCAACTCACTCGGACAAATAAGAATTCAAGAAAAAGGAATTTCTGTCGATGGATGTGTAATTATGAGTAAAAACCACACATGAATGCATGGTAAATTATGACTCTTTATTACACTAACCTGGATTGCTTTAATGGAATTCCATAGAATGCATTACTGCGCCAACCAAAATCGAATTGGCCAAAATTATTGGTTCAAAATTGGGATTTCCGACCCTTCGGTTTTTACCTTTTCGAACTTTGCTGTTGAACACGTGTTACTATATCATTAACCTTTTGTTTTTCGCCTTATGACGCTATCAAAATGTTAAAAATACCTGAAACAAACCCTTTTAGTCAGAACTCCTAAATGCATCTGTTTGTCATTAAAAGGCTTAAGAGCGGTCCAGACTTTTAAGATTTTTTCATCGGAATTCGGACAATTTTTTTTTTTGGCACTTTTTGATTGGAGATGTGATATGTCACACGAATGACGAACACCCCTGGATAAAGGTGTAAACGTTCTAGGAACATTACACAAAAATTGGGCGCTGTCGTAAGCACACACATAATCAATCACGCGTGGAACTTTACCACGATATTCGTTTTGGTTTTGATGTTTAAAAAAAAAACTTTATTTTATTTTCTTTCGTAGATCATACCACGTTACATTATATTAACAAAAAAATAGATATTATAGATATTGAAATGTATTAAATATTAATTACTGTATCGTATTTATAAAATGGTTGTAAAAAAAAAACTCTAATAAAAATTTAAATCTTCTAATCAATGTAAGATTTTCAAACATAAACATAAGTGCGGAAATGCACACCATATGATGAGAATATGTGCGAAAATTGCGATGGATAGTGCATATTAAGTGCGGACTGCGCACAAATATTTTTTTAAACGTGCTGAAATTCATCAATCATGTGCACATGACCGCACTACCAAATCATACACTGGAACTTCTAATTGAAATATTAACCTAAAAAAAATAAAAAGAATTTTAAATGATCGTTGTGAAGGTCTCCATCGTAGGCTGCAAGAATGATTTTTTTTTCTTTGGCGCGGAATCACTGAAATTCTCCTCTTGCGTGGGGTCCCGTTTAACCTTTTTTTTATCAACTGGGGTATTTTTCTTTAATTTTCTTTCAGGACGATATCGATAATTCGGATAATGCAGGTTATGAGTTTCTTTGGCGGCCATACGTAAGATTTCAAAGAATTGCTTGACTTCAGGAGGTTGTTGTTTCCAAGATTTACTAGCCAATGAGCTAATTTCTTGCACGCATAACTTCTTATTATCATGCATGGGTAATAATTTTATTCCGGCGGTAAAATCCTTACGAAATAACATCCAAGCATTTTGCGGGCGAGGAATTTTTCCCCTAATGCTTAGTTTGGGTACGAGTAATTCTTCCAAGGGAAGTGTCAAGACGTATGGTACGCCTGGTAATAAAGGAATGAGAATTTGAGTTGATGAGGTAAGGTTTGAAAGGGGGAGGGATGTATCTATTGTGTTAATGAATGCTGTAGGGTATGGAGTTGGGTCATTTACGCTTGGTAAAAGAATATTGGATTTATCTTTAGGCATTTTATTTTATCTTATTTTTTTTTTTTTAATTAATGCGCGCATTACGAGTTGTTTATATATGAATTTTTTTCCTTTTTTTTTTTTTTTTTTAAAAAAAAATAAAAATAAAAACGGTCATGAAAACATTATCGAAAATTAACAATTCATTTACATTTTTTTTTTTTTTTTTTTTTTATATTTTAAAAATATATTCTAATACTCCCATTTTGAACTTATTATTATAAAAAAATAATGTTAAACAAAGTGTATGGGTTAATATGCTTATAAAGTTTTGCAATAAAAGAAATATTCATCAAGAATAAAGACTAATTTGGAGATTTGAGGTAATAACCGGTTAGATTTATTTATCCGTTTAATATCGTTTAAAAAAGCTCAAGTATGAAAAAAATATTAGGTTTTTTTTTTCGGACCCTAAATTCCGTGAAAATTCCGTTCCCAACCACCATATGTTTATGGTTGTATCACTTGTATCTCCATAAAAATACGTTTCATATATATATTTAAGGGAGTAAAGTGATTTCAGTTGATTTGTTGGATGACCATTAACAAACAAATGATAATCCAAAAAAATAAAGAGGGTTCAAAAAAAAACCCATTAATTTTTGGATGGTACAATCGAACCATAAAGTTTCCTTTTTATCTTGGGAATTTCCATTCTCGGAAACAATCAAGGTGATACGAAAATCGCCACAGTAATCGTTTCTTTTTGATCATCCAAGGTTCGGTCGTATGGAATTACTCTATTAGATTAGCTTGAAAATTATCCCATTATATCAGTTGGCGTCATCCCCTGCGAGTTCCACATGAAGTGATTTTTATCTTTGATTTGGAAGAGGGTTTCAACACTTTTTCCATTGGGGAATCCGGATGTTGAACTGGTTATCTTTGTTACGGTTTACCCTTATTTAGTATCATCTCATCGCCTTCGTGTTTCAACCTAAATGAAACATACATTTATGCACTCGATTATTTATATTTCGTTTCTCCACGTTTTATGGCACTGTTCATTTGGAATTTTGGAAACGCTTCGACGTGGCGCAGGTTATCTCCGTTTACTTGAAAAATAAACAATAGTAATGATTATTATTATTATTATCATATGATTGATTTTATTGTTCTTTCATCCTATTGCATATTTTTTTTTTTTGTTTTTTTTCTAAAAAAAAAATCTGAAAAAAAAAAAAAAAATCTAAAAAAATAAGGGGGTCGGACCGAGATTTTTTAGGAGAATTGGACAAAAATCCTTTTTATTAAATTCGATGAACTGAACAAATACGTATATTATCGGAGATTTTCAAACAAACGAGTCTTTTAACATGTCTTGTCACTTTTTTTCACTGTGTGTAAGAAATTTCCTATTCAAGTATACAAATATATGATCTTACCTTTAATCATCATGCATGTCTCAGAGAATCTAAATGCGGAAATGATAATCCTCGTACATTGAAACTAAGTTTTATTACTCTAGAGGTATTGTCGGAAAGATTAAAAAGGGGGGAAAGGGAAAAAAAAAAAAAAGTTATTTAAACACATCGATACCTTTCGATCCGATGAAAAAGCAAACACAAAAAAAAAAATAAATAAATAAAAGAAAAAAAAAAAGTCAAAGAGAAATGCCCAAGGTCAAATCTACCAAATTGCCAAACAGCAACGCTGACGTAACTGCGGTCACCAATTCTCCCTCACCACCACCGTATTTTCAAATCGATGAAATGATCGTGCAACGACTCAAAGAGGAAGAATATTCGTTAATTCGAATTCCTCCCTATCAACTTACGCTTTCGATAAGGGATCTATTGTCGACGGCTAGGAAGAATCGTAAAAATAAGAACAAATCAAAAGATAAAATTCCGAGACCACAAAACGCTTGGGTATTATTTCGTAAAGATTATGAGGCCAATCAACGCATGAGGTTTCCTGACAAGGCATTAAAGATGAAAAATGTTTCAATTGATGCCGGTAAAATGTGGAGGAAACAACCCGTAAAGGTTAAACGTTATTTTGAAATTCTATCAAGACTGGCTCATGATCAACATAAAAGATTATATCCAGACTATAAATATACCCCTAAAAAGAAAATTCCTACCACCAAAGAAAATACCTTAAAGGATTGGATTTTTAAGGATGGAACTATTAAACAATCCACAAACATTAACGTTAACGCGTCAAACGATAACGCGTCCGAATCTGTCACGTCACGACAAACCGATGTTCAATCTCACCAACCAAAACAATCCGAACCTCCTCAACATATTTCAACCTCACCTTCTCTTTCCCCTCCTTCGTCACCCGAATCTTTGAATCCTCAAACCCCCTCATCCACGCAAAATGTACATTTTTCAAATTTTTCGACGGTCACTTCAATATTTACCTATGAGGAATCCTCAACCATTTATAATTATCAACCATTATCTGCCGAGAATGAGACTTTAATTTCGAATATCCGTCAAGATCCTTTGTTTAATTTAGGCGAGTTTAAGTATTATATCAATAATGATGATAACATTGTCGATGAAAATTGGAACCTTCAACCAACAACCATTTGCGATCATAATATGATTGAAGATGCGTTTCCAACCTTTTCTAATTATTATTCCGATTTCGATGCGAATTCTCTTGAACTGCAACAATGTACGCCCACCATTATGCCCGTGACATTTACTTCATTATCAGCTTTTAATGATGATAATAGTATTTCAGATCTTTTGACTGAATCGAATTTTGTGGGAATATGAACGATATTTTTGCCATGTTACATAAAATATATCGTAATTAAATATCCATCATCTTTATATCTTTGATCAAGTAAAATAATCTACATAAGTTTGAATTTAAGGTTAAGGAATAAATAAGATCATTTACATATATATATTTTTTTTTTTTAAATAGAAATAAGATTTATTAAGTAATAGTAATATAGTATTTTAATCTCATGAAAATAAAAGTTAATAAAAATATATCGTTTTTAAATTTATCATATCAAATAATCTATTTATTAAATGTTTTAATTTCCTATTATTAACGTCCAAATACTTTAGAGAAGATTATCATCTTTACCTCCAAATAAAAAAACTTTACTGCTTGAAATATTATTTATGATTACTATTCAAACGTCGAAATTGGCGTAGTATATGACGAGGTTCGACGTTTTCATCTAACCCTCTATTTGTAATGATCGCGCCTACATTTTCAGTAATTGTGGTTGTTTGTCCTCACATTGGTCGGTTCTCGTCTCGTACAACCATAAATTAACGTCTGCTGTACGTAATTTATGCCTAATAAGGGTAATACAATGTAAATCATTTTTCAGAGCAAATTTTTTTTTTTTGTTTTCGGTGTTATGATCAGAAACATGGCTATCTAATAAATTGGTTACTTTATTGCTCATTTTACATTATATCAATATATTCATTTTTTACAAAGATCAAAAGAAAAGATAAGGGTAAACCTATCATTTCGCGAGTTATAAAACGACATTGTCTCGGCTCAAGAATTTCATGCTAACCCGAATGCAGTTAATGTAGATCTCATCAAAAACCAACCGCGTTACAAAAAAAAAAAAAAATTATTTTCAAAAAAATGTGCTTTAATCTCCCTTTTCTTGTTATAGCAATTGAGGGGGTATAATGATCGTAAAAAACACGCGGATAACCAAATTCATCGGGTATTGTATAATTAATCTTCAGCCCAATTTCTCTTATTTTCTTTTAATATCAAAGTTTGGAACACAAAAATCGTTTGATCTATGATGTCTATGGTATTGTTTCCTTAAAGTAATGGTCATAATAAATATTCGAATCATGCAATGATTAATTCATATGTAAGAATATTTATCAGGGAGTGAAACACAATCTCGTTAAATTTGAAATATGTAAATTTTTTGAAACACAAAGGAAGGGGTGAATCCTGTAAAGGTATAAAGGTTGTGCACATAATGCAAGCAATTAATGAAGGGAGAATTTAATCCCGTCAGATTCGAATTCCTTTCAAATCAAAATCGATTTGTAAAAAGTTAATACATTGTTCCAATGATGAATATTTTTTTTTTTAAGGGACATTTTTGATCTAAAAGAGAACCATTTGATCAATATTTCCATGTCAATACAATCCTTTCAATTCCTTGTAAGTTTAAATCCTGTGTCGTTAGTATTTGATGTAGATTCTTGATTTGGTAATTTCAAACAATAACCATCGGCATCGGATCTACACAGGTATATCTGGCCAATCAAAAAAATTGGAGATCTTCATTGTCACAGAGTTCGGGTATTTCTGAAACGACGTTAAGAAAGATTAAGTTGAACCCTTTTGTGAGATCTTTTTTTGGCGCGTCGGACTATTCTAAAGGCTTTATGTTATGTCATACATACAAAGAGCTAAATGGTTCGTTTTTTCATTCCCACTATTGATGTCACCTTACGTGACGCGATCCCACACTTATGGTTGATTTCAAACTCCGAGAAAGGGTTCCAAAGTTGAAGAACAAAGGCTTTGAAATCTATGTAATCGGTAATGATGCGAATTTAAAAGATATTCGTTAATTAATGTTGTGACTATTTCGGATTGTTTTTCCGAATATTTGTGGGTTAGCTGATTTGGTAAAGAACAAAAGAAGTTCTAATCATTCACACGAACATGCGCTCAGATGATATATATATCAAGTTAACAACATCAATGTCGATACGGTATTATCAATCATTAATTAATTCAGTGAACAAATAATAATTCATGCATGAGGACATAATAAATAATAAATATTAGCTTCTTTTTTTTTTTTTATGATCCAAAAAAATGTTATTTATCAAGTTAACAAAGTTCGTTTATTATTACTTTCAAAAGTATAAATTATTAATTGCCTGAATTTTTTTTTTTTTTCCTTATATTCCGACATAAAAAGTTGAAATGATCATTGTTGCCACAAATAGAAATGAAGAGCACTGTAGATCAAAAAAACCTTTCTAATAGAACTGTTGTCAAGCCACTTATCCTTAGCCACACTTGTACAACCCTCGTTAATTGACTCCGGATTGAATTTCAAAGTTTATTTAGGATTTCAAGTATTTAAAGAATGACAATTTCTCTTCTTTTTTTTTTTTTTTTTTTTTTTGAAAATCATCAATTAAAAGAATCTTATTTCGGTTTTATCACTTGAAAAAAAAAAAAACGTAAAAATGCTTCCATCAAAAAAATCGAATGCCGATATTAATGTTGATGAACTTCAATCCCGTTTGAAATATACAAACGCGCCTTACCGGATTCCATTAGAAAGGCCTCATTCACCGCCAAAGTCGTCAAATGATAATATTTGTAGTATGCAGTTTGTTTTTCAAACCAATTTCTGCTATAATTCCTCCTCCTCCTCCTCCTCCTCATCCACCTGTTCGTTCCGAGAAAGTCTCGATTCGTTGATAGATAAGATAATGATAAATCCACCGTATCAATTAACCCTCTCGTTAGAGGAATTACTGGCACCCGCTAAAAGAAAAGATTCTGAAACTCCCCCACGTCCTCAAAACGTTTTTATATTATTTAGAAAAGACTTGTTGGCAAAGATAAAAAATGAATCTCCCAAATTCGCTAAAACATTACGATCTCCGGAACATTCAAAAACTGCTAAAATCATATGGGAATCCCAACCGAATGAAGTTAAGCAGTTCTTCCAAGTTCTTTACTTGGCTTGTATTGAAAAGCACAAAAAAATGTACCCAAAGTATCATTATATCCCAAAACCAAGAGTTAAGAAAGATAGACAGTTCACTGTGATTGAATCTTCGCGGGAAGTGAGTAACGAATCTAGAAAGGAATCGACAGATTCCGACGATTCGTTGATGTCGGAATTCTTTGATTTGGAAGAGGGTTTCAACACTTTTTCCATTGGGGAATCCGGATGTTGAACTGGTTATCTTTGTTACGGTTTACCCTTATTTAGTATCATCTCATCGCCTTCGTGTTTCAACCTAAATGAAACATACATTTATGCACTCGATTATTTATATTTCGTTTCTCCACGTTTTATGGCACTGTTCATTTGGAATTTTGGAAACGCTTCGACGTGGCGCAGGTTATCTCCGTTTACTTGAAAAATAAACAATAGTAATGATTATTATTATTATTATCATATGATTGATTTTATTGTTCTTTCATCCTATTGCATATTTTTTTTTTTTGTTTTTTTTCTAAAAAAAAAATCTGAAAAAAAAAAAAAAAATCTAAAAAAATAAGGGGGTCGGACCGAGATTTTTTAGGAGAATTGGACAAAAATCCTTTTTATTAAATTCGATGAACTGAACAAATACGTATATTATCGGAGATTTTCAAACAAACGAGTCTTTTAACATGTCTTGTCACTTTTTTTCACTGTGTGTAAGAAATTTCCTATTCAAGTATACAAATATATGATCTTACCTTTAATCATCATGCATGTCTCAGAGAATCTAAATGCGGAAATGATAATCCTCGTACATTGAAACTAAGTTTTATTACTCTAGAGGTATTGTCGGAAAGATTAAAAAGGGGGGAAAGGGAAAAAAAAAAAAAAGTTATTTAAACACATCGATACCTTTCGATCCGATGAAAAAGCAAACACAAAAAAAAAAATAAATAAATAAAAGAAAAAAAAAAAGTCAAAGAGAAATGCCCAAGGTCAAATCTACCAAATTGCCAAACAGCAACGCTGACGTAACTGCGGTCACCAATTCTCCCTCACCACCACCGTATTTTCAAATCGATGAAATGATCGTGCAACGACTCAAAGAGGAAGAATATTCGTTAATTCGAATTCCTCCCTATCAACTTACGCTTTCGATAAGGGATCTATTGTCGACGGCTAGGAAGAATCGTAAAAATAAGAACAAATCAAAAGATAAAATTCCGAGACCACAAAACGCTTGGGTATTATTTCGTAAAGATTATGAGGCCAATCAACGCATGAGGTTTCCTGACAAGGCATTAAAGATGAAAAATGTTTCAATTGATGCCGGTAAAATGTGGAGGAAACAACCCGTAAAGGTTAAACGTTATTTTGAAATTCTATCAAGACTGGCTCATGATCAACATAAAAGATTATATCCAGACTATAAATATACCCCTAAAAAGAAAATTCCTACCACCAAAGAAAATACCTTAAAGGATTGGATTTTTAAGGATGGAACTATTAAACAATCCACAAACATTAACGTTAACGCGTCAAACGATAACGCGTCCGAATCTGTCACGTCACGACAAACCGATGTTCAATCTCACCAACCAAAACAATCCGAACCTCCTCAACATATTTCAACCTCACCTTCTCTTTCCCCTCCTTCGTCACCCGAATCTTTGAATCCTCAAACCCCCTCATCCACGCAAAATGTACATTTTTCAAATTTTTCGACGGTCACTTCAATATTTACCTATGAGGAATCCTCAACCATTTATAATTATCAACCATTATCTGCCGAGAATGAGACTTTAATTTCGAATATCCGTCAAGATCCTTTGTTTAATTTAGGCGAGTTTAAGTATTATATCAATAATGATGATAACATTGTCGATGAAAATTGGAACCTTCAACCAACAACCATTTGCGATCATAATATGATTGAAGATGCGTTTCCAACCTTTTCTAATTATTATTCCGATTTCGATGCGAATTCTCTTGAACTGCAACAATGTACGCCCACCATTATGCCCGTGACATTTACTTCATTATCAGCTTTTAATGATGATAATAGTATTTCAGATCTTTTGACTGAATCGAATTTTGTGGGAATATGAACGATATTTTTGCCATGTTACATAAAATATATCGTAATTAAATATCCATCATCTTTATATCTTTGATCAAGTAAAATAATCTACATAAGTTTGAATTTAAGGTTAAGGAATAAATAAGATCATTTACATATATATATTTTTTTTTTTTAAATAGAAATAAGATTTATTAAGTAATAGTAATATAGTATTTTAATCTCATGAAAATAAAAGTTAATAAAAATATATCGTTTTTAAATTTATCATATCAAATAATCTATTTATTAAATGTTTTAATTTCCTATTATTAACGTCCAAATACTTTAGAGAAGATTATCATCTTTACCTCCAAATAAAAAAACTTTACTGCTTGAAATATTATTTATGATTACTATTCAAACGTCGAAATTGGCGTAGTATATGACGAGGTTCGACGTTTTCATCTAACCCTCTATTTGTAATGATCGCGCCTACATTTTCAGTAATTGTGGTTGTTTGTCCTCACATTGGTCGGTTCTCGTCTCGTACAACCATAAATTAACGTCTGCTGTACGTAATTTATGCCTAATAAGGGTAATACAATGTAAATCATTTTTCAGAGCAAATTTTTTTTTTTTGTTTTCGGTGTTATGATCAGAAACATGGCTATCTAATAAATTGGTTACTTTATTGCTCATTTTACATTATATCAATATATTCATTTTTTACAAAGATCAAAAGAAAAGATAAGGGTAAACCTATCATTTCGCGAGTTATAAAACGACATTGTCTCGGCTCAAGAATTTCATGCTAACCCGAATGCAGTTAATGTAGATCTCATCAAAAACCAACCGCGTTACAAAAAAAAAAAAAAATTATTTTCAAAAAAATGTGCTTTAATCTCCCTTTTCTTGTTATAGCAATTGAGGGGGTATAATGATCGTAAAAAACACGCGGATAACCAAATTCATCGGGTATTGTATAATTAATCTTCAGCCCAATTTCTCTTATTTTCTTTTAATATCAAAGTTTGGAACACAAAAATCGTTTGATCTATGATGTCTATGGTATTGTTTCCTTAAAGTAATGGTCATAATAAATATTCGAATCATGCAATGATTAATTCATATGTAAGAATATTTATCAGGGAGTGAAACACAATCTCGTTAAATTTGAAATATGTAAATTTTTTGAAACACAAAGGAAGGGGTGAATCCTGTAAAGGTATAAAGGTTGTGCACATAATGCAAGCAATTAATGAAGGGAGAATTTAATCCCGTCAGATTCGAATTCCTTTCAAATCAAAATCGATTTGTAAAAAGTTAATACATTGTTCCAATGATGAATATTTTTTTTTTTAAGGGACATTTTTGATCTAAAAGAGAACCATTTGATCAATATTTCCATGTCAATACAATCCTTTCAATTCCTTGTAAGTTTAAATCCTGTGTCGTTAGTATTTGATGTAGATTCTTGATTTGGTAATTTCAAACAATAACCATCGGCATCGGATCTACACAGGTATATCTGGCCAATCAAAAAAATTGGAGATCTTCATTGTCACAGAGTTCGGGTATTTCTGAAACGACGTTAAGAAAGATTAAGTTGAACCCTTTTGTGAGATCTTTTTTTGGCGCGTCGGACTATTCTAAAGGCTTTATGTTATGTCATACATACAAAGAGCTAAATGGTTCGTTTTTTCATTCCCACTATTGATGTCACCTTACGTGACGCGATCCCACACTTATGGTTGATTTCAAACTCCGAGAAAGGGTTCCAAAGTTGAAGAACAAAGGCTTTGAAATCTATGTAATCGGTAATGATGCGAATTTAAAAGATATTCGTTAATTAATGTTGTGACTATTTCGGATTGTTTTTCCGAATATTTGTGGGTTAGCTGATTTGGTAAAGAACAAAAGAAGTTCTAATCATTCACACGAACATGCGCTCAGATGATATATATATCAAGTTAACAACATCAATGTCGATACGGTATTATCAATCATTAATTAATTCAGTGAACAAATAATAATTCATGCATGAGGACATAATAAATAATAAATATTAGCTTCTTTTTTTTTTTTTATGATCCAAAAAAATGTTATTTATCAAGTTAACAAAGTTCGTTTATTATTACTTTCAAAAGTATAAATTATTAATTGCCTGAATTTTTTTTTTTTTTCCTTATATTCCGACATAAAAAGTTGAAATGATCATTGTTGCCACAAATAGAAATGAAGAGCACTGTAGATCAAAAAAACCTTTCTAATAGAACTGTTGTCAAGCCACTTATCCTTAGCCACACTTGTACAACCCTCGTTAATTGACTCCGGATTGAATTTCAAAGTTTATTTAGGATTTCAAGTATTTAAAGAATGACAATTTCTCTTCTTTTTTTTTTTTTTTTTTTTTTTGAAAATCATCAATTAAAAGAATCTTATTTCGGTTTTATCACTTGAAAAAAAAAAAAACGTAAAAATGCTTCCATCAAAAAAATCGAATGCCGATATTAATGTTGATGAACTTCAATCCCGTTTGAAATATACAAACGCGCCTTACCGGATTCCATTAGAAAGGCCTCATTCACCGCCAAAGTCGTCAAATGATAATATTTGTAGTATGCAGTTTGTTTTTCAAACCAATTTCTGCTATAATTCCTCCTCCTCCTCCTCCTCCTCATCCACCTGTTCGTTCCGAGAAAGTCTCGATTCGTTGATAGATAAGATAATGATAAATCCACCGTATCAATTAACCCTCTCGTTAGAGGAATTACTGGCACCCGCTAAAAGAAAAGATTCTGAAACTCCCCCACGTCCTCAAAACGTTTTTATATTATTTAGAAAAGACTTGTTGGCAAAGATAAAAAATGAATCTCCCAAATTCGCTAAAACATTACGATCTCCGGAACATTCAAAAACTGCTAAAATCATATGGGAATCCCAACCGAATGAAGTTAAGCAGTTCTTCCAAGTTCTTTACTTGGCTTGTATTGAAAAGCACAAAAAAATGTACCCAAAGTATCATTATATCCCAAAACCAAGAGTTAAGAAAGATAGACAGTTCACTGTGATTGAATCTTCGCGGGAAGTGAGTAACGAATCTAGAAAGGAATCGACAGATTCCGACGATTCGTTGATGTCGGAATTCTTTGATTTTTCTTTATGGGAATCCCATCAGCAAAATT